AATATTGAATATAAAAACAAATATACTTTATTTAAAGTTTAATAAAAAGATAAATATAACTCTAAAATAATTTTGTAATTTTGCCTTTCATATTTTAATTTTGTTATTTTCACTGGATTTTATTGCTATGTGTTATTGTTGTAATGTTATTGTTGTGATGTTTTGTGTTGATAGACAGCTTGGCTTACCTTCCCGTTGGCGTCTGTTGTTGAAAATGAATCATAGGTAGTTTCATTATTGGAACTTACTGCTTTTATTTATTTACTAAAAACGAAGACAACATTTTGCTAAAAGTGCAATTCAAATCTTAGTTTGATTTTTTTTTGTTAATCCTTTTGTACTTCAAAACAGATTTTATAGTTACATTTTTGATAAAAGTTTATATTAACTGCAATTAAAGTAACTATAAATAGGTAAATTGGTTTTCAATTTTAATGAAATCGTTTTACCTATTTATAGTTACTTATTTTGAAATTTGGTGTTTTTTGTTTTTGTAACTATGATGTAATTCCATTACTTTTTATTTTAGATTTACGTTATGATACATTTATAAGATTTATAAAAAAAACCTGATTTCCTTTTATTGTAAGTTTTTGTTAGTTAAAAAGATATAAATATATGCAATTAGTTCAGTTTTGTTTTTTTTAAATTTTATGACTAATAATTTGTTGTACGTATCTTAGGGGATCTTTGTAAACGGGGGGTCGTAACTAAAAACTTTTAAAAACATGGAGAATACTGTAGTTTTGCGCATTTGTCAAATATTGATTTACTTATGTTTTATTTACATATTTAACTAATTAGTTAGCTTAGTCTGCATTTGCAACACTTTTGAGGAAAGAATAATTGTTTTTAAATAAAAATGTAAATCATTGTTTTACATTTTTATTATTTTAGTTAAAGAAAAACTTGATTACTCTTAATAAAAAAAAACCTACTCACCAGACCACCATTAAAGCAAGAAGAGGGGAGGAACTTCTTTACTTGTGTTAAAATATTTAGGAAATTAAATTTTTAGTAACAAAAGGAATTTTTAGTAAATGATAGCAAATGACCGTTTACTAAAAATTAATGAAATAAACAGGCCAAACAAATAATATAGAAATGGTCTATGTTGAACAGACTTAACAAGACCCGGGTCCGGTCATAGTAGATATTACTAGTAACTTTCCCATGGACTGAATATATAGTTTATACGAGAGATCAGTAGTGAAATATTAAAAAGACGTAGAGGACTTAAGCTGAAAAGGAAGTAAGCAGTATATATACGGCCAGCCAACTTTAAACCTTAGCTGACTTCGAACCTACATTTAATTTTACTTAATGACATTTATTTGGATTTATGGACGTTTTAAAAAATTTTTACTAATCTATGGGCTATGTAAAACAACAATGACATTAATTTTAGTTCAGCTAGTGGCATGTACGCAATCAAAATTTAAAATATTTATTGAATCGCAATCAAATTTTGTTATTTATGTGCCCCAAAAAGTCCTAACGGTCTTGTCACAGAGCACCGCGGAAATGGATTTAACCAGAAAGTTCACGCGTCCTTCCTTACTGTGTCGCGAAATATATTAAAGGCTCATTTCAAACCCAGATCCCCGGCTTATAAAGCAAGCGCTCTAACCACTAATATATAAATAAACCTGGTTTATTTGCACCATGAATCAGTATTATTAACTAGGTTGCCAAAATCGGAAACTTAGTTCCATTTAAGTTAAGGGATAAAAAGCGCCTACTTTGTACCTTATTAAAGTTTTAAGGCTTGCAACAAAGATTTCTTCAAAAGATGTTAGCAAATGATTTTAAAGTTTTGAAAATTATAAGCTACTTTCAATATTAAAAAAAAAAATTTATGGGGTACGATAAAAAGTTGAATTGTGTTATTAGTAACATTCTATCCCCGGGAAAATTTCACCCTCTAAAAAGATATGGAGCAATACAAATAAACTAAAAAAACTTGAACCACTTTTAGTTCATGTTTTTGATTGCCAACTTTCTGTTTCTCACTAAGTATATGCTTTCTGTATCCATACTGATTTAGAAATTTGTTTATGAAACTTTTTTTGGAAATCCAAAATCATCTTCAATCTAAGTACCATATATGTACTTTAAAATACATTTTAAAATATATTTTTATTGATCATCATACTTTTATTAATCATCATTTATTTTTTGGATGTGTTTAATGTGTGCAGAGATGATAAAATTTTTAATTTCACAATTTGAACCTTTGTTTGTAAATATCCTTAGGCAACGTGTTAATTTAGTAGTATTAATATCTGTATATGGTATTAGATATATAATTATTCATACTTTCAACCAAATAAGACAATTTTAGTCATGGGTCAAATCTCACACCTTTTCATGAAAAACTAGGGAAGCGGCAAATGGAGACGAGAGGAAAGGCCATAAAAAGACAGTGTGGTGAAAGCCTCACTTCAGATAAATGCATTGCTAGGCTCACTGAAGAAAATTAGGCTAAAACCAAGCCGAAAATTGTCTTCATTTCAGGTAAAGGGAAGGGAAAAGACATGAAAAAAATAACAATGAGTGATGCCGCAGACAAACCAATTTTATGCACAATGTGGGGGGTAAATGTGGATGACCCTAAAGTTTGCGATCTGAATGTTATGTATGAACTCCCAGCTAATACAAAACGTTCAAGCACGTTCGAATTTTTTATGAAAACGTGTAGAAATTACCCCTATTTTGTTTTATAAAAAATCAACAGTTTGCTTAAATATGTAAATAAAAGGAATTCTTTTACTTTCTCTTGTTTTTTATTTTATATAGTGGTTTTTAAGGATTTTTTAGAAGTAGTGGATGGATCCAGTATATGTAACATCTTACACTACATGTAACATCTTAAAAAACAAAAATAAAATTTTTTAATGTAATTTGATTCACTTTCAAGTTAAAAACCTATTTTTAATTGAATATGGTTTGGGACTTTTATTGTTACTTGATGTTAGAGCAAAGTAAAGTAAATGCAAATTTTATACTTTAATATTTAATTTAATATTACATTACTTCCATGTGATTGTGCCCATCAAGACATCAGGGTTGCATACTTCAAAAAAAGCTTTTAAAAAATTACATTAATTGACCCTTAAGCCTGAGATAAAGGTCAATTTTATCTGTCCTTTATATGGTTGGCTGATCTGATTTGAACAAAACATCTTTTGTATCACGAAAAAAAAAAAAAAATAAATAAAAACATAAATTAAAACATATTAAAATATAATTAAAACATACTTTTAACAAAATATAAAGCTATATAAAATTATATCTTTGTACAGACTTACATATAAATCAAAACTTACATATATATATATATATATATATATATATATATATATATATATATATATATATATATATATATATATATATATATATATATATATATATATATATATATATATTTATATATACATATATAGGGGTGATTGATCTTCCCTATATTTAAATATATGCATTCAAATTATAGCTTATTTAATAATGTATGTTGTTCTCCTTTCAAATTAAAATTTGTAAAAATAAAACTTTTAAATCACATCATTGGTTACTAGTTTGAGCTTAAAAGCCATAAAAAAAATTGTAAACTAAATGTTTTGACATATCTATCTTAACTCATAACTTCAAAACAAAGCAGAAGATCAACAGATAGTAAGTTTGTTTGTTTTAAAATCTGAATCTTGCTTGACATAAAGTATTGGATCATATCTGCAACTTGTATTTGGAACAGCAATCTATATTAAACAAAAAGTTGACCATTTCCAGGTGCTTGCTTGACTGAACTTTAAATGATCTTAAATTACTTTATCACAATTGCTATTGGCGTTGAACTAAATTTCCATTTCCAAATTCATATACTTGTTTATAGTAAATGAACAACAACACAACATAAATCTATACATACACTATTTTGCAAACTTTTCATTTTAAGCTTCGTTAAAAGTAGATTTGTTAACTTAACTTGCTATAAAACTGTATACCTTTTATAAACTTTTTTCCTGCCAATTTAGATAAGTAACATTGTAAAAATTGATCAAACCATGTTACGCAAAAAGATACACAAAAATATTATCGAAAACATGATGCATATTTTTCTTTAATTTGAAAATCTTTAGTTTTCTTTTCTTGCACACAAAAACTTTAATACTTTTTGAAAAAAAATGTTTTTCGAAAATACACCAGAATTCAATACGGTATTTTCATTTGTATATACCCTGTGTATAATAGGTTGATTTTTAAATTGGCTAAAATATAAACCATCACCATAGCTTTAGAGATAGCAATTACAATTGTATAAACCTGGATAATATAATGATATTATGATTTTATTACTTATGATATTATAGGTATTTTTATTGTTATTTTTTTTATTATTATTACTGTTTTATAAAATAAATGTTGCTCCTATTGCTTTTATTTGTTGTTGTTGTTTGCATAAAGTTTCTTATCATAGTAGAAGCACTAAGATAAAAAATATGCATTCATGCATGTTACACTCGAAATTTTGGTTTTAGAAATAATTCCTTAGCCATCCTCACAAAATAACTACTAAACAAACAAACCAGTAAACATGTTAAGATTTAGTTTTCTTTATTATCAAAATATCTTAACAATCGCGGTTCACTTTGATATTATGATCACAAATAATATTCTAATATCATGATTTAAATATAAATTGTATAAAAACATTTGTATTATAGTATAAAATCATGTTTCACAAATTTTGTATTGAGTTACTATTTGATAAAAACATTTTACCACGCATGACCAATAATTAAATATTCACATAAAACCATTGCATAAAACAAATAATTTAACAATGCTTTTTGCATCTTAAATACTTAATTATTCGCTAAAAAAATAAACATTACGTCACCTAACTTTACGCTTGGAATCGTAATTGCCGTCACCCACCTAAATTCGTAAACAAAAGGTTACTAATTTAGTTGCGTTTCTTTATCTTTTTTAAACTTTTTTTTTTCTTAATTCAAAAACATTCAATATATGTGATATTTATAAGCATATTAATATTATAGTCAGAAAAACATTTAAAACGGTACATCACGTTGTTATATACTTTGCATATGTCCTTCACCCAATAGTTCGTTAATATTGGTTACGATGGTAAGATTTAAAGTTATGTTAATACTTCTTTAATAATACTGTTTAGCATAAATCTACTGTTTAATTTTAATCTTTAATATATTATTAAAGATATTAAATTAGACTTTACTTCAATAAAAGTATATGTATTTCAAGTTACTTCAATAAAAGTAAATGTAGGTCACGTATATATATATATATATATATATATATATATATATATATATATATATATATATATATATATATATATATATATATATATATATATATATATATATATATATATATATATATATATATATATATATACATATATATATATATATATATATATATATATATATATATATATATATATATGCATATATATATATATATATATATATATATATATATATATATATATATGTATGTGTGTATATATATATATATATATATATATATATATATATATATATATATATATATATATATATATATATATATATATATATATATATATATACATATATATATATATATATATATATATATATATATATATATATATATATATATATATACACGCATACATATATATATATGTGTATGCGTGTATATATATATATATATATATATATATATATATACACGCATACACATATATATATATATATATATATATACACACATACATATATATATATATATATATATATATATACACGCATACACATATATATATATATATATATATATATATATATATATATATATATATATATATATATATATATACACACATACATATATATATATATATATATATATATATATATATATATATATATATATATATATATATATATATATATATATATATATATGCATATATATATATATATATATATATATATATATATATATATATATATATATATGTATATATATATATATATATATATATATATATATATATATATATATATATATATATATATATATATGTATACATATATACTGTATAAATATATAAATATATATTCATGTAAAACCTTTATATATATACAGTAAAATCCCATTAACTCGGACTCTAAACAGGTATATATGTTTTGTCCTTCTTTTTTTTTAGTCATTTTTAGGCTCTGGCCCATAAAAAGGCCTCCAAAAACAAAAATAGCCCTGGGCCCCAAGAAGTCTTAATTTGCCACTGTCTATATTGCTAATTGGCAATGAATCTTTGTCAGAATACTTTTGATGTCTTATACTATCGAATTATATATAAATGCTGATTTTTATTCCAATTATCCAACTATTTTTTCTCAAAACGGTTCTACAAAATCTCAAAACATCAATGAAAACACTGCTTTATCTATTATTATTTCCCAAAAATCATATGATTCCTATTGTAAAGATAACAGAATACCAAGTGTCATATCAGAGTCTATCAATATTGCTACAAACTATTCTCATTCTTCATTTCTTACTATGTGCCCTCTCTCAAGTGTTATTGAAATGCAAACTCATATTATCCTTATGAAAATAATACAAAAATCAAGAAAAATGTTTATGTTTTTTAATTGTACTAAAGGATTTAAACAGGCCTCTAAGATATCAGTAAACAAAGATTATTTTGTCCCTCTAATATTTTTAAAAAATTTATCTAAAAAAATACTGATATTTTTGCACCTAAATTACCTGTTAAATTACCTGAAACAAATCAGGTTGCTACTTTGAATTCTACTATCTTTGTTCTAGGTTCTACTCCAGAGATATTAGGGTCAAGTAAAAGAACTTCCCTTTAAAAAAAATAGCAATTTAAAATGGATCAATTTACTATTAATTCACCTTTTTCTGCAAAAAAAAAAAAAAAAAAAAAAAAGTTTGTTTAGTATCTTTGCCACTTTAATCAAAAAGTTCTAGTTTTCAATTCAAATGCAATAAATCAGACTGCTCCTTTCAATTCTTTTGGCTCTATTTATTCTCTTGGCTTGCATATTCAGGAAACCTAAAATAAAAAAGGTATTTTTTTGTGTTAATTATGTTATTTTAGGATCTAAAGGATCAAGTTGTAATGCAAGCAAATTTTTTTAGCTTTATAAATCTCTATTTGTGGCATATCCAAAAACACTGTATGTACACTGTGAATCTCATGTTTTCAATCTTTGTGTTGTAGATGTCTGTAAATTACAAGTAGTCAGCAATATGATGGCAAATGTGCGTATTGTATCTCAGTTCTTTAACTTTAGTCCAAAGTGTTTTGATTTTTTGAAAAAAAAAAATATATAGAAAAAATATTTCTAGAAGCTCGTCATCCTCATAGATGTAGGTCATACAAGATGGATTGCTATAATTGATAGTCTAGAGGTACTTCCTGCTATCCTCAAATGCTGATAAACAATGAAGGAAAATCTTGGAATCATGATTCAGTGTGTGATGCAAATAGTTATTTCTTTGTCTCTAGTTCTTTTCAGTTTATTGTTACTTTAATAGCTGTGTCTTGCTTTTTATAGATAACAAGACCAATTTCAAAACAATTTCAATCGGCAAACTTTGACATTTTAGCGTCATGTGAAAAAGTAATAATTTTAAAATAATTTCAATTGTGCGGCCGTGGCGCAGTGGTTAGAGTGCTTGCTTTATAAGCAGGAGATCCAGGTTCGAAACAAGTTTTGGATATATTTCGCGTCACGGTAAGGAAAGAGGCGTAAACTTCTTAGTTAAATGCACTTTTGCGGTGCTCTGTGACAAGACCATTAGGACTTCTTGGGGCACCTAAATAACAAATTAAAAAAAAAAAAACAATAGGAAAATAACTTAATAGAAATAATTCTCCTAGTGAATCAATTAATGAGTACAAAAAAGTTAATATGATTCCTTTTCTTGACCATTTGTCATTTCAGATTTAGTTACGTTTCTCTAATTGAAACATTGCTGTTTATAATGGATTCTTTGTAATGCCAACTAATATTTTAAATGTTTCTGAATGGAGGAAAAACTTTATTCTTTTTTTAATTGAATACGGGGATGCTATATCATGACTGAATTAAATATGGAAAGATTACTGACATAATTTTAAATATTCCCTTCCCAAGACTCAATCGAAATTCCTTTCTCTCATTGATAAACTTACCTTTCCTAATATATTCTCTTTAATTCAAATTCTGGCAACTATTCCAGTAACAAGATGCTCTTGCAAAAGATCAATCTCGGTTATTCATTGTTTAAAAACTTACCTGCGTAACACAATGTCACAGAATAGATTTAATAGTCTTGCTCTAATGCACGTTCATCAAAGTATCAAGATTGACGTAAGTGAAGAGATTGATTGTTTTGCCAACAAATATCCTTGTAGAATGCAGCTTGTAGATAATTTAAATTCAGATTCAGTTAAATTTTGATAATAGAGTTTATATACACTGACACAAAAAAAAGTTTTTAATTATATATTTTATAAAGGATTTTTATTTAATTTTTTATCCATGTTTTTATCAAGAAATTTTTGATTAAATCTTTTTAAACGATTTAAGTTTATTAGGGTGGCCACAGCTCTTTTAAAATTCTTTTACCCTCTTTTTTCAAAACCCTCTAAAATCCTCTAAAAAATTTGATTAAATCTAATCTTTAACTCCTCTATTTTATTTTTTTATTTCTTGGTAACAGTATGTTGTTCAAAATACTCATTCCTGGTCTGCAAAACTGGTTAACGCTTAAAAGTGCATCAGGTTGTAAAAAATTGCTTTAGCAAATCCATATCATTTAACATAAAAAATGACATTATTGCACCCTTTTTAAACCCCATAAGTGTAGAAACATGGACAATAAACCTATAGAATAAAAAAAACTCTGTATTTTTGTGTAATTATAAAATTGTTTTTTAACTTTAAAAAGTTAAAATTGTGTAGTTTTGCGAAAAAAATTCTCTAAATTAGATGCAAAATGTCCTTTTTAAATCCTCTAATATCCTTTTATTTTTTTGTGGTATTTTTTGTGGCCACTCTGTTTATTCAGCATATTAATGTGTTGATTTGTTTTATTTTTATTATAATTTGTTTATATTTTACTTTTGAAATTTACATAATAGATAAAAGATAAAAGTAAAAATTAATCAACTGTAATTCATTTATTTTGTTAAACACCAATTGGAAAGGGAATTGGAAATTGGGGTCAGGGCAATAACATCCAATTTTTGCCATGTATAATAATATCCGTGAAACAACATTCGAAACAATATCACCTATTGGAAATTGGGCTCAGGGCAATAACATCCGTTTTTGCCATGTATAATAACATCAGTGAAACAACATCTGAAATTTCATCTATGTATAATAACATCCGTGCAATAACATCCCAAATTTCATTGATGTATAATAACATCCGTGCAACTACATCTGTAGGCAACTACATCCGAGTTTTTTTTTTTTTAAATGCATAATTTTAATCAGATTAGTTACACATCAAAATTTTTTCGGATGACACCTGCCAAAAAAAAAATTATAATGCATTATTTTAAGCATTATAAATTTATTTTAATTATTTAATAGACTGCCTGCCCAAACTAAACCCTCAGTCGATGTAGCAGCACTTTTATAATATAATAATTATATATGTTTTTTACAATATAATAATTATATATATAATAATAACTACATACGGAATTTTATAATATAATAATTATATATAATAATAATACTTTTATAATATAATAATTATATATATAATAATAACTACATTCGGAATTTTTTTTCTAATAATGTATAATTTTAACCAGATGTAATTACACATCTGATTTTTTTTGGATGTAACTACGTTCGGAAACACTGTTCTCCAAATTGACCGCCAGGTTAAAACTCTCCTTACTCCTGATTTTTTTGCATTTAACTAATCATATGCATTAGTAAACACAATTTAAGTTGTCAGAAAAATCTGAACTAAGTGCTAAGTATATATTTTTTAAAATTATAACTTATAATTTTTCGCTTTTTGATTAAAGTCAGCCATTATGGTGGTCAAAATAAGCCATCAACATTTATTAACTT